GTAACTATACAGCCTTTAGAAGACATCTGAAGGCAGCCCTGTATCGGGAAGTTTTTAAATGTTTAATGTTTTATTATGTTTATATACATGTTGGAAGCCACCCAAAGTAGCTGTGGCAACCCAGTCTGATGGACGGGGTGTAAATATTATTATTATTATTATTATTGAATAGGACATCCCTATTTTCATTGAACAAATGTTGGAGGGTATGAGCTTCACCCAGCATATAGTTAAACCCTGGAACCAGCTCCCACAAAAGGCAGGGCTCTAGAGGAAGATTAGATGAATTCATTGACAATCAGGGCATCATTGGCTCTCAGAACAATGCAAAGGTTGGTGCTGACCTTTAAAGCCCTATATGGCCTTGGCCCTGTACATCTCCACCCCCATAGTTCAGCCCGGGCACAGAGGTCCAGCTCTGAGGGCCTTCTGGTGGTTCCCTCACTGCGAGAAGTGAAGTTGCAGGGAACCAAGTAGAGGGCCTTCTCGGTAGTGGCTCCCGCCCTGTGGAATGCCCTCCCTTCAGATGTCTATGAGATAAATAACTACACAACTTTTAGAAGACACCTGAAGGTAGCCCTGTATAGATTTTTTTTTAATGTTTTACATCTTATTATGCTTTTATATGTGCTGGAAGCCACCTGGAGTGGGCAGTATCTTCTTCTTTGGCGATCACTTGTAGTTGAGTAAGATTGTCTTCCATAAACACGGTTTTAACAGTGAGTCCGTAAGTGACTGTGGAGGCCAATTCTGGATCCACACGTTCTTCCACAGTGGGGATATTGGTTTCCGGCGGGAGTTGATCGCAGTGTGGATTTGCCAAGCGTGCCTTCCTCCTAGCATGTTTCTCCCTTGCGTCCTGAGTTCGAGTGTCTTCAAAGCCCATGACACCCTTGGTAAAGGCTGTTCTCCAACTGGAGCACTTGCAGGCAAGTGTTTCCCAATTGTCAGTGTTTATGCTACATTTTTAAAAATTTGCCTTAATGCAGTCTTTAAACCTCTTTTGTTGACCACCAGCATTACGCTTTCCATTTTAAAGTTCGGAATAAAGTAGTTGCTTTGGAAGATGATTATCAGGCATCTGCACAACATGACCAGTCCAACAAGGTTGATGTTGAAGAACCATTGCTTCGAAACTGGTGATCTTTGCTTCTTCCAGTACACAGATATTAGTTCACCTCTCTTCCCAAGTGATGTGTAAATTTTTTTGGAGACACCGTTGATGGAATCCTTTGAGGAGTTGGAGATGGCGTTTTTAAGTGGTCTGTGTTTCACAAGCATACAGTAAGGTTGGCAGTACAATAGCTTTGTAAACAAGCATTTTGGTTTCCCTGCGAATGTCCCGGTCCTCAAACACTCTGCACTTCAATCGGGAGAAAGCCACACTCGCAGAGCTCAGGCGATGCTGGATTTTGGCATCATTGTTGGCCCTTGTGGAAAGATAACTGCCTAGGTAGGAGAAGTATATAAATAACAACAACAAGGTATGATAACTATGTTCCCCCTCCACTGTTGGAGACAGTATGCTCTGAATGCCAGTTGCTGGGAATCACGAATGGGGAGAGTTCCTGTGGCTCTCAGGTCCTGGCTTGCTGCCTTCCCTTTGGCATCTGGCTCACCAATAGGGAGGAACTGATTGATGTGCACAGAAACTTGGGAGGAAGTGATTATATTCTCCTGGGTTTCAGGATACAGAGGCAAGGGAAAACTGAGTGTAGTCAGACATGCACTCTGGATTTTAAGAAAAGCGGAAGGAGCTACTGGATGTGATCCCTTAGTCAGAAATATTCAATGAGTCCAAGAAGGATGGGAGTTTCTAAAAGGAGAAATATTGAAGGCCCAAATACAGACAATACCAACAAGACAGAAAATTGGGAAGCAAGATGAGCACTTGAAGGATCTGGGTATGTTTAACCTGGAAAAGAGGAGGCTGAGAGGAGATAGGATAGCCAGCTTCAGATATCTTAAATGCCGTCACATGGAGGAGGGATCATGCTTATTTTTTCCTGCTCTTGAGGGTAGGACTCGAACCAATGGCTTCAAGATGCAAGAAAGGAGATTCCGACTAAACATTTGGGGAAAAACTTTCTGACAGTAAGAGCTGTTCAGCAGTGTAATAGACTCCCACAAGAGGTGGTGGACTCCCCTTCCTTGGAGGTTTTTAAGCAGATGGTTGGGTGGCCATCTGTCATGGATGCTTTAGCTCAGATTCCTTCATTGTAGGGGGTTGGAATAGATGACCCTCGAGGTCCCTTCCAACTCTATGATTCTATGATTTAATGATATTGATAATAATTTGTTATTATTTAAACCCTGCCCATCTGACTGGCTTTCCCCAGCTACTCTGGGCAGCTCCCAACAGAATATTAACAACATGATAAATCGGATAAAACATCTAACATTAAAAACTTCCCTAAACAGGGCTGCCTTCAGATGTCTTCTAAAAGTCAGATAGTTGTTTATTTCCTTGACATCTGATGGGAGGGCGTTCCACAGGGCGGGTGCCACTACTGAAAAAGCCCTCTGCCTGGTTCCCTGTAACCTCACTTCTCATAGCGAGGGAACCGCCAGAAGGCCCTCGGAGCTGGACCTCAGTGTCCAGGTTGAACGATGGCGGTGGAGACGCTCCTTCAGGTATTGATTGCCAAGTTATTATTATTATTATTATTATTATTATTATTATTCGTTACCTGACATTTTCAGAAGCTGAAGTTATAATTTTTTGGTTTTCTGAAAGCACTTTATGTGATTCTTCAT